TTCATACAGTTTCGAGAAGGATCGCGCGCGTACTTTGTATATCCGATCCCAGTCTCGATGTGTCCCTCCCGTTATTTCGGCCACAAAAGGCGAGCCTTATGCGCAAATTATCACCGGGAGTGCCGAAAGTGAGTGTCGCGCGTCCATCGTCACGAAATGTCGTAATCGAGAAGGAATATCTTGCGGATCGGGACGTTGGAAACGCTGAGCGAAGCATCGGGCCTTCGTGGCGCCATGATGGCGGCGCGAGTTTCGTATTGTTGTATCTGTGTGTCGTGCGCGCAAATATGTCGTCGGCAGTGCCGAAAGAGAGTTTAGTGCGTGTTCTGCAGTGAAATATCAATGAATGAGTGCGAGAAGTGGAAATCTCGTGGAGTATCATCTCGTTATCCGATGTACGAAGAAATATTGCCCTCCTTTTCCTCCCTGTTATGGAGGAGCTCCGGAACTGAAACTCATGCTCCACTTTGGACACGCTGAGAAAAAAATACTGGTAAATATTAATACAGAATAGAAATTACTGCAAGTAATACCCGCGACATTTCTGCGTATCGAATCGTATATATGTATGTCTCTTTCCCTCTCACTCTCGAATTTATATCATGTATAAAAATATCATAAAAGAGCATATGCATAAGTTACATTTCTATTGCATCAATATATAAGTTGTATTATCCCTTTTGTATTTTTTATTATTCATTATTTTTACGTATTGATATTACTATTTCGATGGCACACTTTTCATCTAGAACGTCCGACCATTTGAATTTCCAATCAGCGGTAAATCAGCGTTGCGCTTCTACGAGCAAGTGTAAATTATTTTACATTTGCCTTCCAAATGTTATAATTTGTAACTCGGCTATGCATAAAGCTTTGTTCATACGAAATTAATCATATCCTGTTTCTTTATTAAAATTAAACAGGTATCGTAGATATTCGGACAGCTTATGTTTGACGACTCCACATTATGCATCGATTGATTTCAACCTTTCGTAGCTTATATTTTCATAAAGCGCACGATTTTCGACGCGAATTTAATTATTTTGCGTCTAGATTAAAAATTTACATTTTGTTACTTTGATGGTTATCGTCATTTTCGCATCTGTCACTTTTCGATTTTTCGCAGCTTCTATTTCCATAAGCGATAATCGTAGATTGATGCAATTTATACTGACAATCGTTATTCCAACTCTAAATTAATATCATACTGCACATAATTAGTTAATTTATATCTGGTGACCCATCATTTTCGCATCGATCAATCTCGATTTTTCGGCTTTAATTTTTGTGTAACTAGTAGCCGTAAATCATTGTGTCTTAAAACCTTATCAGTCATATTTTATTTATTTACAATCGGTGGCTCGATTTTATCGCATCTATCATTTTACGGCTTTTCGCAAATTCTGTTTTTATAACCGATAATCGTAGGTCAATGCAATTTGCACTGACCATTGTTATTCCGTCTCTGAATATCGTATTGCACATAATTAGTTAACTTATATCTGGTGACCCATCATTGTTGCATTGATCAATCTCGACCGTTCGACTTCAATTTTTCACAGCGCGTAATATAAGCTCGACACGGTTTGCAATGAGCTCAATTATTTTGGATTTAAATTAAAACCTAGTCATAATTTAGTAGCTCGATTCCAAAAATATTGTCGACACGGAAATGATCATCCCTTAATTATCTACCAGTCTGATGAAATTCGTCCGGGAAAACTCTCATTACTTTCGCGTTCGACAAGGATACTGTATCGCGCGCAGGGACAATTTAATCTCTTCATTATGTAAGTCACATCCGGGGGTACGGTTTCGGCAAATTTGTAAGAATGCGTAGCGCGACGTTCGCCGCGTATATAAAAACTTTGGCTGTTATTCCGAAAGCGGTCATGCTCCGATTTTAACGAAACTTGGTGAAAAGCTATGTTATAGGTTAAAATGGAAGGTTATAAAAGGATTTTTGGCGACTCAAAAGTTAAGTGGTTTCTTCTAACAATTTTAAGTTGAACAGTATTTTTATTATATTTTATATCTATCTTATATCATATCTTATATCTATTTTATGTCTAGATTCAAAGTTAACAAAGCGTAGTCAACGATCGCGTGCGTAGTGCTATTCACTGCACTAGCATGTGCATTCGTGCACTGCATATTGTGACGAGGGTGAACGGGCGGGGGTATGGGGCGAAAGGTAAGTGGGCGAGGTGGGGGGTGGGTGCGCGTAGCGCGCTCTGCTAAACGTACTTGGAACTTACGTGTTAGATCAGATGCGTGCTGCACTGACCAAAAAAGTTTTGTAAATGCGTAAGTTACAAGTGCGTTTAGCACGGCGCGCTACGCGTACTCCCTCTTCCACTTCCAATGTCTCCTTTCTGCCTCCGCCAATATATTGAGTTGTAAAAAATCTTTTTGGTACTTTTTTTATTTGTTGCCGCCGATTGCGTTAATCGTGTTTAAGTTTCAATGGACATAAAATATGATAAAAGTACCAATCAACTTAAAATTGTTTAAAAAAACCACTTAACGTTTGAGTCGCCAGAAATCCTTTTGTAACCTTCCATTTTAACTTATAACATAGCTTTTTACTAAGTTTGGTTGAAATCGGAGCACGGCCGCTTTCGGAAGTTTCGCCGAAACTTTGCATCTCGCGGCTAAATCATGAGAGATTTACAACGCGTTGTAGCCTCCGACGGAGGCAGCCCGTCGCCCCGTAAGAGGATACCCCGAGCTAAGAAGGTACACGAGATTCAAGTACAGTTACAAGAGCGGGAGTGAGAGCGAGAGGTGGCGGCGTGTACTCTGTTCCACCTTCTTTTCTCTTTCAAGCACGCGATCCTTGTTATCCACTGCTATAAATTGCACGTCGTGATATTTTTATTTACGTCCCGCTCTCTAATCCTCCGTGTACCACATGACTCGATCCTCTTTCTCTCTCTCTCTCTCTCTCTCTCTCACTCTGTTTCGTCGGTACATAACCGAGCAATTCTTTCCGCTCTTATCGAGCGACCGCTTATCAAGCCACCGCAGCGCTTGCGTCGATCGTTGTTGGGAAAGGTTCGAGTTCCCGAAGGTGGAAGGGGTATACCGGGTGTCCTCAGGCTAACTCGGTGACATTTCGATCGCGAACTTGATGTCGTGAATTTGAATTCGATTCTCTTCGAAGACGAAATCCAGGCACATTGTCAGTTCTCTCGTGTGTTTGCGATGCATCCACGGCTTCTTAATGATAGAATCTTAAGCTCGAATTTTGCGCGTAAAGAACATAGTTTAGACGGCGAACAAAGGAGAGAGTCCATTATTTCATAAAATCAACTTTAAGAGACCAATGAACTCTACGAATTTGAGGTGTTATTCCGTTTGCAACTTTGAGCGTGCCGAGTTGAATTAATATTTATGTGACAACGATTCAACCGGGGGACCGAAGTTCTAAAATCTCAGAGCCGAATATCTTACATGTGTGACAAGTCTCGAGTAACAACACGGATTAAAAAATAGAAAGGAACTACGAAATTGAAAACGGGAAAAAAAAATTGAGAAATGTAGTAAAACAGAGCTTTCACCTCAAATTCTACCGCGGATTATGGATCGTCTACGGTAGATGGCAGAAATCTCTACGCAAAAGAGAGTCTGTTTATTCCCGTTTGTTGTATCGCGTATATACCTTCTCGGCGTTCATTCATGACGTAAATAGCTCGGGCGGAGTGAAGGAAGGGCGTTATCGACGGGAGCAGGTGGCTCGGTGTGCTTGCTTCGAGATTGTTCTGAAAACGCGAAACGCAAGAGCATCCGTTCGCGCTCCATCGATCCTAAGATCTCCACAGCGAGATCCATCCGCGATTTCTGCAGCCGAGTCTGAATCCGCTGATCGATGCTGAATCATTCCGCTGCAAACTCGCGACAGAGAGGAGTCGTAGTCGAGAGAGCTCGAGACTCGATACTTTCACGGCACCCTGTGGAGGGTTGCAAAGAGGGAAGCGCGGCGCGGAGGCACCGCGCGGGGAGGTGGAAGGAAAAGGGGGTTGACGTCGCGGTGGTGGTTTCGGTGTGGCCACGATGGCGGTGGCGACGTGGACGTGAGGGCGCCTGCGTGAGCGGCGCCGACGCAGCGGCGGCGAGGTCGACGAGGACGACGACGACGATGACGACGACGACGACGACGACGACGACGACGACGGCGGCGACGACGTGAGTGCGAGGCCGGGAACAACAGCGTCGGAGTGCACGTTGCGTACTCGGTGGCCGGGCGAAGATCGCCGAGCGTGCACGGTTTCCACGCGGTTGAGACGTCTCCACTCCGAGCGGGCTGTGGCATGCTTCGACCCGCGACGCGGCCGCAGTGTTCGAAAAGTCGGCACGACGCACGCACGAATTGCACCGCTGCGGCGCGCGCGCGCGCGCCAGAGGTACACACGACGACGACGGCGACGAGGACGACGGTGGCAGCGGTGGCAGCAGAAGCAACAGCAGCAGCAGCGACGGCAGAGGAGAGACCACGAAGCCACCTCGTCGAAACGCGCTCTACTAGCTGAAGTTATCCGGATCGCCTCCTCCTCATCCCGCTCCTCCACCACCACCACCGCCACCACTACAACCTCCTCCTCTTCCTCCTCCTCCTCCTCCTCCGCCTCCTCCTCCTCCGCCTCCTCCACCACCACCACCACCACCACCTCCTCTTTGCACCTCCTCCGGCAGCTTCCTCGTCTCCCTCTACTGTTGGACGAGTTGGAGCACGACGACCGACGGAGGCGCGAGGGCGTACGCGCGGCGAGCACTGACAGACAGACGAACCGACAGACGAGAGCCACCGACAGAAGTAGGGAAAATATGCTAACGGTGGCGGCGCTAGACCGTCGTGCCTCGTCGTAGAGGAGGTGGGAGACTACGACGACGTCGACGACGACGACGTGCGTGCGTGCGTGCGTGCGTGCGTGCGTGCGTGCATGCGTGCGTGCGTGCGTGCGCGGTCGAGGAGGTGGTGCGCTATGCCGTGTGTAAGCATATCGGCGACGGCGACACAGTGACGACGTAGAACGACGTGCGGCCAGAGAACGAAGCGCCCGGGCGCGCGCGTCAGGAGGACGAGGTGCGTCGCGTGGATTATATACCGCAGTGTGTGAATCCGCTCCGCGCGGCTTTCGGACTCCGCGTCGTCCGGCCGGAGGAGACAGTCGGCGAACGCGCCGACGGTGGTAGTAACCCTGACCTGACCCCGCGCGCGCCTACGCTACGCTCCTCGGTTTCGGGCTAGCGCTCGCGTTCGTCAGTGTCTCCGCGAGACTCACCGTGTGCGCGCGCGAACAAATATACATCGGCGAGTCCTTCTCCTCCTCCTCTCTCTCTCTCTCTCTCTCGCTCGCTCTCTGTCGCTCGCTGTTTCTCTCACCTCTCCGTCCGCCGCGCGTCTCGCACGTATACACATACACACACACACACACACCCAACGAGCTTATCGGCGATCGATCGATCGCGCGCGCGCGCCAAGCAGCCAGCCAGTCAGTCAGTCAAGCAGCCGATATCGCCGAACAGCGCGGAACAATCGGCGATCGGCGTCGACTGCACGCGACTGTCGTCCCGCGAGTGTTGGCCGCGGCGAAACCTGGCCGTTCCTCGTATACGCCGCCACCCCTCTCTCTTCTCTATCTCTCTCTCCCTCCCTCCCTCTCTCTCTCTCTCTCTCTCTCTCTCTCGCGCGTACGATTGGGGTGAATCCGCGGGTTCAGTGTGAGTAGAGACCGCGTCGGAGTCGCCCGCGATCGGCCGCGAAGGACACGCGATCGCTTCCTCCGTCAGGCTTCGTCGTCTCTCGTGGGGGTAAAACATATCGTGTACGCTATACACACTCTTTCCTCCCGCCCTCCTCTCCCGTCCTCCGCCTCCTCTCCGCCCTCCTCCTCCACCTCCTCCGTCTCCTCCTTCGCCGCGATACCATCCGCGGGGCGACCTCGTATCGTAGTCGCGTGTGTGTAGTGGTAGTGGAAAGCAAAAGGTCGCGCGCGCGCTGCGCTGCGTATTTGGGAGGATTCCAAGTGGTCCAGCAGCGGTGTGACGATCGAAATTATGTTTGCCAGGGGGTAACCTCGAACGTCGTGCACACGGCGGAACGGAACACGGCGCTTGGGTGAGCGAGCGAGCGGGCGAACGAGCGGGCGAGCGAGCGAACGATCGAACGAACGCGGGGGAGGCAGGCCAGGAGCGGCAACGAGCAGCGCTTCGCAGAGCGCCGCGATCGACGATGACAACGCGCGTCGCCGAGTGAGGAGCTGGCTGCGAGCTCTCCGGCAGCCAAGAGGATGCCACGGGGACAGAGTCGCTGCCGAATCGTACCTGGGCGACGTGGCGTTCGCGAGATCTAGAGGAGCGTTCGCGCGAGCTGGGCGAAAACAGAGTACGACAGAGAGGGACAGAGAGGAGAGTGTCGGGCTGAGGGAAAAAACGGGCGAGCGCGAACGTTGTCGAGAAGGAGAGATTACGCGCGTCGTGGGTCTTCGGGAAAATAGAGCGAGCGTGAAAATAGAAGGAGGAACGTGATAAGAGACGTGGAAGCACCGTCGACGAGATAGATAAAAGGTAGGAGAGAGAGACAAAGAGAGAGAGAGAGAGAGAGAGGGCGAGAGAGAGAGAGAGAGAGAGAGAGAGAGAGAGAGAGAGAGAGAGAGAGAGAGAGAGAGAGAGAGAAGACAGAGCAGAAGAGCAGAAGGGAAGACACGCGACAAGGTGGGATCATCGTGCGGCGTGGTCTTTCTTTCAGTTTCCGGGACCTCTCGCCGTGGCTGTTTTTACGCGTGCGGCCGTCGATCGATAGTTTGTGCCGCGGGCTCTCGTGCCGGACAGAAACGACGGCGAACACACTACGTGAAGGACGCGCGCGGTCCTCTCGCGTTCGAATACAACGAGCAGCCGACTCGCGAGTTACGGGCTCCGTGTCGGTGGGACCTGGAGTAGCGGAAGGGAGGAAGTTTCCAGAGGGGCCTAGCTGCTGCAGTGTCGGCTACCGCGACGCTCGTGAACATCGCGCGGACGGACGTGAGCATCGGTGACCGGAAGTCCCGGTGATTTATGGGGGACTTCAGCACGACGAGTCTCTTCTCGAGTACCTTGACCGGCCCGAGACTCGGCAGCACGAGCGGTAGCAACACCCTCCACGGCTCCACCGTCGCCAGCAGCATCACCAGCAGTGGCGGCAATAAGAACAACAACAGCCACAGCCACAGCCACAGCCACAGTCACAGTCACAGCCACAGCCACAGCCACAGCCACAATAACAAGAATAGCAGCAGCAACGTAAACGCCGCCGTTACCATCGCGACATCCACGATGCAGGACGATCTGCTGATCGAGAAGCAAGCTGCCGGCAAGCCGGCCCCGCTCTCGCCGAGCAGCGCGCTCGACGCTGTGGCCGGTCAGGACAAATCCAAGGACGTGGTCGAGGTCGAGAGCATCGCGATCACGCCAACCACACCATCCTCCACGGACAAGGACATCTCATGTAGCACGTCGTCGGCGTTGCAGGGCTTCGCTGATCCCGGCAGAGTGCCCAGTCTCTGGTCCGCGCCGGACGACAGCGGCTTGCACGCCCTGCCGGTGAACGGCTCGATCGCGGCGTTCCAAAATTTCCCAACCGGTGGGCCCGCGGGTCTCTTCGCCAGCAGCGGCGCCGCTGCGGTCTCTAGCGGCACCCGACGCGCTATCACGGCCAGTCACAACTTCCCGCAACAACAGCAGCAGCAGCAGCACGGCAACGCCGGCGCACCTGCTGGCACCAGGCACGGTGGTCTTCAGGTGTCGTCCGCGCAGCAGCAGCAGCAGCAGCAGCAGCAACAGCAGCAGCAGCAGCAGCAACAGCAGCACCAGCAGCAGCAGCAACAGCCGCCGCCGACGTCTCACCCGGGCGTCTACCTGCCCGGCAAAGGCTACGCGGCATGGTCAGGTGGGCCGCAAGCTCCTCAGCAATGGGGCGCGGGCCCGCAAGCGGCAGCCGCGGTCGCCAGCCCAGCCGGCCTATCACCCTGGAGCCGCGGCAGATCCGTGCCGAATCTACCGCCGCTGCACTCGTCCCTGCACGCCGCCGCCGCGGTGGCGGCCGCGGCCGGCCTTCAGGGTCGCAAGCCGAGCCCGACGTTTCCGGGTCATCCCGGTCAGGCGGCGCATCCATCCTGCATCAGTCCGGTGAAGTTTCGCCGGAGCACCTCGTACCCTGGCAAGGGGAGCATCTACCCGCCCCAGCCGGCCCCCACCTTCGAAGTTACCGCCGCCGAGGAGAGAGATCTGCTGCAGTTGCCGCCGTTCCAGCAGGTGAGTCGCCGCTCTCTCGTAATGAGTCTCTCTATTACTTTGGACAAGCGAGTTGGATCGACGTGCAACTTGCTGCCTCCTCGGGCAAGTCGAGGGTGTCGATAAGTAGACGGCCGAAACCGAAGGTATCGACGCGACTCCGATCTAACCCACTTTTCGGGGAAGTTTCGCGCAAATTATTTCGCGAAACTTGAGGTTTCTCATTTCTACAAAATTGCCTTTGGGTAATCTCTCTCTCTCTCTCTCTCTCTCTCTCTCTCTCTTTTTCGTCTCTCCCTTCGAGGTTAGTTTCCTCGTCGAAGTCAGCAAACATCGCAACGCTTGCTTCGGTTTCCTTGACCTCGCGAGCTGTATCCAAGCTGTAAGTGAAACAAGTAGAAAAACACGCTCGTGATAGTCCGGCAGAAGTGGTCGAGTAGGACAACTGTCCGCGCGAATTGGGCCGCTCGCGCGATGTCTTAAGCCCGGATCTTATCCGGACTATGGATTGAGATTGAACCAATTGGAGAAAAGAAGATAATCTAAAATATAGTAAACTTAGCCCTGATTGGTGTTAAATTTCAATCATCGACGCTCAATGCCAATCCGTAGTCTGATACGGGCTTTAGAGATGACCGCCTGCTCGACAACAAAATCCTCCGTCAGAAGGATCTTCCATCAAACATTCCGCGCTTCGCCTCGCTTACTCGAGCAAGATCAGTCGCGCGCTGCTGGCGAACGGGGCGCGTCTGATCGTCGGCCGAACGCCGATCCTTCAGGGGAGGGAAGCGCCACGAATTATTAACGACTCATCGCAAACGTGCTTAATTAGGCAACCTTGCTCTCCGCTACCAGCGCCGGCAGAGATCGCAGAGATCGCGAGCAGAAAAAGAGCGCGATGTGACCGCCGCTTTGTTGCTTCGCTCGACTCACCAGCGCCGATGGCACACAGACGTTGCCGCGACTTTTTTAGCCGAGTGGCATTGCGTTATCGATCGGCCGCGCGGTACTGCGGGCAGTATAGCCGAAGGTACTCGCTTCGTAAAACTGCACCGGCAATCATGCGGTCTCGCCGTCGAGGAAGGCGCGCGCGCTCGCTCGCGCTAGGGACTCCGACTTCCGCAGTTTCGCTGCGTCGCCGCACCGCACGCACTCCTCGTGCTTCGGATTATGCAGCTGCTCCTCGGAGAAGCGAGAGAGAGAGAGAGAGAGAGAGAGAGAGAGAGAGAGAGAGAGAGAGAGAGAGACTGGCATTTAAATAGCCAGCGTAACGGTTGTTTCGGCAGTCGCACCGTCGACGGATGTGACAGCGTTGTTTTTTAAGCACCGATAATGCCGCGACGCGCGTTTTACGTCGGTTGGCAAACGAACGAGCGCCAAAGGGCGCGTTTCGCCCGTGAGAATTTTCCGCGGTGGAATCCAGGTTATCTCTGACGCAACACGCTCGCTCATCGTCGTTTCGCGTAATCTGGCTGTGTGATAACGAAACGGCGCGTACACGCGCGCGCTCAAAGGAAAGGTCGAAGTTATACATATATATATATATGTCTATATATGTGTGGAAAATGCCGCGGAAGTCGTTTCCTCGGCCGCGAGCGTGTAACGCGCGAGCGCATCGCCGCCGAATAACACGCGACTGAATGGCCGATCGAAGTAGAAGGGAGGATATAGACAAGGTGTAGCGAAGAAGAAGGGCCGCGCTCGCGGCGAAAATGCGGGTCAGCGTTTCCCTCGATTTTACACATACACACACACACACACACACACACACATGTGCGCGATTACGTAGCGTTGCGTTTTGAAGCGCGCGATATTGATCTTAAGCAGCGGCGTGCTTTCGGTCGTTATTTATTTTTTCTCCTCTCGCGATACAATTAACGGACGGATCAAATTCATAACTCCGTCCATGCGACCATTAAGTCACGCCCCCCCCCCTCCCCACCGCAGGCTCTTAATTGAAATAAATTCAATATAGAGTCGTTATATGTGCATTACTGTTTACGGTATTCGCTTATTGGATAAATTCCATTTATATCATCGTTATTACATTCATTATTTATATTGCGCGCTTTGCGACAAATCCCGCTGAAATTTCATTCAGACCATTAACGAAATATAATGACAATTTTATGAATAGCAAAGCCCGCGCGTGTGAGTAGGGCAGTATTGATTTGCGCGTGAAATTTTTCCCTCGTCAAATGTTACAGTTATTTGCAAGGACTGTCTGCTTCCCTCCCCGAAGTTCGCGTGTATTTACGCGCGCGGCTCTCTATATATTTTTACGACAAACCGCGCGAGTATCGGCGAGAAACGACTAAAAATTGTCACTTGGGGTGGGGGGGGTGGGGGACGACACATACCGAGCGGTGACAGACGCGCGTGAGCAGACACGGACATTCGTTATTTAAAGACACACGACCATCATCCTTATAAGACACCTATTTTGGGGAGGGAAACTTTTTACACGACGGAGTGATAAGAATCACCGAGGTTGTCATCAATAATCGATTTCACTCGATTTTTTGTCACCCAACGGCGCTATACTGCGAAGGTTATACTTTGCTGATACTTATTTTGTCGTCCGAGTCTGACCCAATTCCTTCCCGACGCGGTAACTCCAACAGTGTCTAGCGGGGAAGTTTAAGCTCAGCTCTATTTTAACCACTACTCGAAAATAGATCTGCATAGTATCCGAGAGAAATGGCGGATGTCGTCATGCTGTCGTTCAGCTATCACCTTCGCGCACCTTGTCCCAACATTTGCACGTATATTCGTGCACGGCGTGTACGCATGTCGTGTCCCATCGTCGTTAACATATTCAATTTGACGCGCGCAATGACGCGCATTATAGCGGAGCTGCAAGGCGCAGCCGTGATTTTAAAAGCGCGCTCGCCTCGTAACTGACACGGCACGTGCCGCGGACGAATTTGCCGCGACGACGCGTCGGAGGATTCTCTCGCTCGAGAGTGCTCGAGTCGATAAATCGCTGGATACGCGATAAAGTCGATCAAGCATCTCGGGAATGTGTGACGCGTATTTTTATTCTCGTCCGACCGCGCGCAATTTTCACCCAAACAGACGATTCTCTCTTACTTTCTCGTTGCTTCGTCCCCATCGTCGATGATTCGTGTCCCTTGTTATTTGACGTTGACCAAGACGAACTATTGTTTCGGCATGTTGCTGGCGGACTCACAAAAATTCGCCGTTTCGTCAGGTTTCGTCAGGTTTATATTGGTGGACGTCGCGCGCGCGACTTGCTTCCAAGGAACGAGCGGCCGAGCGCGCGCGCGCGCGGCAGCGCGGTCCAGCGGTTTATCGATATCAGCGGCATCGTTCATTCGACCGTACGTCGGCGTGGACAATTAGCTCGTACACAAGCGAGTCGCGAATACGACCTATGCGCCGGATTCAATCAAATGTCACGCCTTCGGTAGAAATTATTGCGGGCGTACACGCTTGTAAACCTCGCAGCGCCGTCCGGAGCTGCAATTTGCGCTCCCCCTCGGAATCCCCTTTTTCACGCTTCACCGAAAGAATGTACCGCGCGAATGAAATTTTGGAAAAATGGCGCGTGAAAAATGGCTGTATCCGCATCGAGATACGATGCAAATCGTGTACGCGCGCGTTTTTCTCCTCGAAGAATCTTGCGAAGGCGGTTTGTTTGCTGCATGCTCGATGCGCGTTGCCAAGCGAGCGCGGAGAGGAACGGGGCGTGTTAATTTTTGACTGTTTGTTGCATGAAGTCTCTTTTTATCGCGGTCGAAGAGAAAAACGGGAAACGGGCGGGGGGGGGAGAGGGGGAGTGACCGCCTCGCGGCGTTACGTTATCCGGATTTAACCGGTTGAAAGCTACCATCAGATATCAACCCAGGTTAACTTATTATTGTTTATAGCAAAATGTACGTGAGAATTGATCTGTTTTTGTCATAATGTTAGTGTTACACCGATGGTGTAAATAAATCGTCAGTGTGATTAAGTTTTTTAACAAGTTGAGAAATTCGCACGGGGCGAGAACGATACCTGTATCGTGAAATCCATTTTAATGGCACAATATTATTTATCTTGAGGTTGTTTTCTACAAGTCGAACTTCAAGTCAAGGAAAAATTCAAAATGGCTGATCCAATATGGCGGACTGTTGATGGAAAAATGGAAAATCTTATCTTGAGCCATTAAACCAAACATCACGATAATTGAATATGTTTTTTAGATGAGGTTCGCTATCAGTCATTTTGAATTTCTCTTTGACTTGAAGTTTGACTTGTAGAAAACAACCTAACCTCAAGAGAGATAATACTGTGTCATTAAAATGGTTTTCACGATATACATATCATTTGTTGCGATAAGGTCCGCTATATTGGATCAGCCATCTTGAATTTCTTTTTTGAGGAAATTGGACTTTAGATTCGTAATTAGCGACCCGAAAACCTTAGGATATGTTATCTTGAGTTTTCAAGGTGTCAAGAACACTGCGCTTTGAAGAACATAATCGCTGTATCGCTGATGAAATTTGACCCCCCGTATCTCAGAAACCAATTGTCACCTCAAGATAAAAATTTGCGAGGATTCATACCTGATTAATGTAGATTAATAAGTAGAGATGTGCGAACTATTCACAAATTCGAATCGAATCGAATCTAATTATTCGATCATCGAATCAATCCCTATGATTTGAATCCGAATAATTCGAAAATTTCGAATCGCGAAGATTTGAATACATTAGCGTTTGCGCGCATCAGCTACAAAACGGGCCATTTAGGCGTGTATGTTTGAACCCTTAACTTGTAATTAACTTAACTTATAATTAATAACTTAATTATAAATTATTTTAAACATTTAAATATATATTTTACTTCAAGATAATATTACAACATCAATATTCCCTTTCATATTAAAATATTCCATCATTATTTGCATGTTTAATAGTCATGTTAAATTTTCCAATGATTCGATTCGAATTCGAATGAAATTTCATAGATTCGATTCGATTCGAATTCGAATTTAAAAAATGAGACTCGATTCG